TTGCTTTAGCAACAAAACTAGCGATTCACCTTCACTCATATCTCCAGTCTTTGCCGCTTATTGATTTTTCAGCTGTCTACCTTCTGCGGAGTACTGCGAATTTGCCTTGCTGAGCGCCAAAGAACCAGAGAAATATAGCCTCTTTATATTTTGGGCCCACTTTGCTCCCTCTTAGATCTTTATGTTCATGTTCTGGGGCCGCTTATTCTTATCTGCTTGTTTCCTGTAAGATAAACCTTTATATGAATTTGTCTTGTAGGTGTGTCTTTCTAACACAGCTCTCTTACTATCGTATGAGCAAATGTTGACTTCCCTTTTCTCCATTAACAGTTTTAGAGTTTTCCATTACATTCTGGACTTACTCTATTTTTGCTAATATCTAAAAATAGATAACTACCGGATCAGTAATCATCGATAGGAAATCTAGCCAGTAATTTTTAGAAGCCATGGCTTTGAAGACACATTTCACAGTCAGCAAATAAGCCTTAGGTAGCCAGGCTCGGTTAGCTACATTTTCGCGAGAATGACATGTTCACAGTCTTGTTTTTCACATTTAAAAAATCCCTCAGGTACTCACCTACCCACCATCCGTCCAGCCACTCTTCTTGACTCATGTTCATCTGAACATCCTAGTTCCAACCTCCCTAACTTTCCAGAACTGTGATTCTAATCTCTTCATAATTTCTCCATAAATTCAATCGCCTCAAGATTTTATCGCTCACAAGACGGGTCCTTAAAGAAAAAGAACCTGCTTCTTGTCCACAACCATCATATTGCGCTAGGTCCGTGCATTTGGACTGTTCGGACGACTCCTGGTTTGGGTTTTCACCCTTAGTATGAATGGAATGACTGTCTTGTTATATATATTTGGCTTCCTATAAAAATGTCTTTCATATGGAATTTAGCAAGGTCATATAGTTTCGCTAACTCCATATAAGGCGACATCGTTCGTATAGCATACCACTATTTCTCTCAAAACGACAAATGTATTATCTTCTCAGAGCTTCCCTTCATGCTGTATTTCTCCTTCCTGATTGCTCTCTCTATAAGTAAACTATTCGAATTAGGCTTGATTTGCTCTAACTAGTCCAAAGTTTCTATGAAAGTCTTCTTGGTCCATGATTTGTTTTTCTGCACCTTCAATCTGTATCTAATCTCCCTTGGCTTTATGATAAACTGCGCACTCACACGTATTTACCTCTACAAATTTGTCCCATTTCTGAGAAATCTTCGCTGGATTCGTTATTGTAGCAAGATAATTCGGTGCCGGCATCCTGGAGCTTGTGCGTCAACATGCAGAGAAACAAGGCTTTGTGCCTTAAGCCTATGTGATAAAGTATTCTACCTTTCTATGGATAAGAATGTGCCTCCTTCATTGCAAATCCATTGTTATTTTCGCGCAACTCCTTATTTCGATGACTCATCTACATTCCTTGTTTCAGATTCCACCTAAGCCATGTCATTGCCCTTTATTTTTTCTTTTACTCTGGCCTTGCGGGCATTCGCAACTAATTTCAGAAACCGCTTAACAGTCCTGGCAAATTATCTCAAGATGACGGTTGATCTTGCGCAATCATGTACCATTTCTACGGTACTCTAATGATTTATCTTGTAATACAATCTTTGTTAATAACATTTATCCTTACGATTTTTGCTGAGGAAAATGAAACCTAGCATTGTAGAAAAATTGGTTTTCGGAGCAGCCATTTCACATGTCATCCGCAGCCACTTCACTTTTCAACAGCATGCAGGTAAACCATGGATCTCTAATCAAATCATAAGATGCTTCATTAAGTGGACTAAATTAGACGTGGGTTAGAAGTAGGTAGGTTTGAAGCAGGTCACCTTTCTTGTCTTTGCGCTTAGTGAATTATCGTAAAACCTGGTGTCCTGCTCTGACGATATCCATCAAATGACGGACGAAAATTCAGCAAGGATTCATCGGGGTCGCGGTGCGGTGCGCCAAGGTCCTATTCGCACAAATGCAGTCACAGCTCCAATGAAATCTACAGCTTTCGATGAAGCCAACTTACGAATCCATCCCATTTACCTCTTCAAACGAAATGAAGGGTACTCCAGCATGGATCTTAGTGTTGGCGTATGCAAGCATCTAGCCTCATCTAGTTGCATCCCAACGACTCTGGCCCGACTTCGGTGAATTCTTGAATTTTTAGTCCACCTTAGCCTGATGATGAAGCATAAGAAAGCTCATCGCGTCCAAAAGAACTTTATGGAGATTATAAGCAAATAAGCCTATGCGATAGGAGCTTAATTTAATGTGACTTATGCTAGACAAGGAATCTAAAGGTTTTCATATTGTTCCGTATTTAGTAATAATCACTTTGTAAAAAAATATCACATGGATAATATTATCGATTAAATTATGTTAGCATAGCTAAACCATATATTTTACAGTTTAAGGTCAATTCAAGGAAACTGAAAGATTTTCGTGATCAAGTGTGTAGGATGGCGCAAAAATATTTGCCCCAAGAACAATAAATAATATATGAAAAAAGGTATGAAGTGGATTATTCCGCGTGTTATTTTTTGGATTGGTCATGTGTCTGCATTATCGAGTATAAGAGCGATTTTAATGATTAAGAATTCAGTGTCGTATTGGGAAATGATTGAGTTAGTTTATGGAGGATTTAACGTTGTGAATAATGTAAAAAATACACATACATGATAGGCCTCAGCCTTGATTTCTACATGTGAAATTAGCATACAGAGCAAGAAGTGTCAAATTGGGAGTTCGGTAAGATATGTGCGTTGGGGATATATTCAATAACCGTATACTGAGCACTAGATACTCACACGACAGTACTCTTTAAGAAAATGCAGTGGACTTACAATAATATGTACACACCGACAGAAGAAATCCGGCAAATTGGATAATGCTGGAGCACTTAAAATCCACTTAAGTCCGTGGAAATGAATAAGGTCAACATTGAAAAAAAGAAATAGACATGCTGTATTTTGCGAAGTATTGATTTAACTGCCAGGATATTGAGAAAGAACCGAAGTAAAACATACAAAATAATAATAAAAATAGTTCAGGCTATTGCCACAGCTGGCATCGAAGACTAAGTATGTTTTTTTCTTTGAGCCAATCTGTCTGTCTATTAAGAGTAGGAATTGTTCGCGCGTTTACATGCGTGCGTATATATATATTTATCTGTGACATGTATATATATATATATGTGCACACGTGCCTGTGTACGAACAGACATGGATATGGAGAGTTTGCAAATGGACGGACAATTGAATAGAAAGGCTTTGTATCCAGATTCCCTGCCAGATTGCAGAGCAAAATAGTGACGATGAGAATAATGGTAAGGAGCTATGAAATGGGTTCAAGCGTGCCAGCCATTTTCAACCACCAACCCTAACTTAAATAGGCGTTGGTGTTTAGGTCAAATAAACTTTGTAGTAAAGTAAAGGATCACTAGTTCAAACAGGAAACTAGTCTGATTTCCGCTGTTTTTCGTCTGCGGAATACAATAAATATGAGAAATTAAAAAACAATGGAATAATAAGCGCATCTATACACAAGCAAGGATGTGAAAAGAAAGACATAGGCAGATATAAAAGTAAGAACAAGTGACAGTGAAGTCAGAATCATATCAGCTCAGGTCGGACCGGTCGCTCTCTTCTGCTCGCTGAATCTTTGAATCTTCCATACCTGGAGGTTCTGTCAAGTTACTAGCTTCTCCAGCCAAAGCTGGGGACGGTGAAGTTAGAGCTGCTGGTTGTGGTGGATGGGGTTCGCTTGGATAAAGCTGGTGATATGGGGTTGGGTGGAGGTGAAGCCGAGGTGGGGGTGCAAATGCTGCCGCCTGGCTGTGCCATACAGTCGCTTGACTTAGATTGTCAGACATTACCGGCACGCAGGGCCTCTTAAGCGTTATCGACTTGCCAAATGACTTATGGATAGCAGCTCCACTTCTGGCAGTAGCATTCGGGGTGACGGCAAAAAGATCTTGGTTTCTGCATGGGCTATTCTGCTTGTAAAAGGCCCCAAATAGACCATTGAGGCTATTCTCTCTAGTAACTGTCCCTCGTTTTAATCGTTTTGTCCAGCCAATATTTGAAGTCACCAGTCGCCCGTCAGTGTTGTTGGCGAGCTGCGATGGCAGATACGTTTTATGGGCTACACATGGCGAAGAGCTGTATGGTGGTCGAGTGGTAGTGGCGGGTTCTAGCTCTCGTGGGTTGGTGTAACCAACACCGACGACATGGGTTTTTTGAGGCCAAGATAAAAGATCCCTATTGTAATGAACCTCGGAACAGTTTGTGGTTTTGTCTGTGCATAATATGCATTTGCACACTATCGGCCGGTGAAGTCGACTGATAGAGTTGCCCGGATTGGCACAGGCGGGCGTGTTCCGCAAATCCCCTGAGGATTGGGCAGTCCCTGAGTTCGGGAGAAAAAAGTCGTCTAGATGGAGGTAAAGATAAAAAAAGATTTGCTGAGAGCAAAGCAGCCAAAATTAGGGGTCAGGAGTTTGTCGCCTGCTGGTATGCGTACGCGCTTGAAGTTAACAGCTTGAACAGTAGGCATGAGTTGGGCGGTTCGTGCTTATTCTCAAGAATTAAGCTTAAGGGACAAAAAAGCTACAATGGCTATTAATTTTGAGGCCTAGGATAATGACGATAATGGATGCGGAGATGAGTTTGCAGAATAGAAGCTTGGAAAGTTTGCAGGTGTAGGGTAGGTATTTGATGTCATGTGAGTTACTGGAACATAACACATCTAAAACTTACTTAAGGGCGCAATAGTATTCAAAAACAACCTCTGGCATTATCAGAGCACAAATAAATTTAACTTAAACCAAGTGGCTAATATGCTGAATTAAAGTTGTAAAGATAATTAGATGTGCTGACTTCAAATCAATTGAAGATCAATATTAATCGCACAAACATCGACTCCAAAAAAGCAAAGAAATGTGCAGTGAGCTAGAAGCATTTTCATGATTAGATTGCAAACTAATTCGATATTCTCGATGATGAACGTTAGCGAAATGTGCAGAAAGGAAATCCCTTTATTGTGTCTAGGCTAATGCATTTAAATTACAGAGGCATTAAAGAGCTAAAGCTTCATTATAAATGCACAAGTTTCTGATAGACAAAAATAATAAAATACAAAGACATAAAATGCAGTGATAAATACGCAATACAAGGACGTTTAGATAAAATCTTCAGCAATCTCCCATCATATAGTGGGAATTAGTTGAAATGAAAACACTGCTCTGTTTCACATTAGTACTTAATCAAAAGATAACTGGTAAATGATGGTTAACGAATGAATCAACCATTCTTCTAACAATTTATTTTTTACTACACTTTAAAGGTGAATGGGACTATGATATCCTTGATCCATTCAACAAATATGTCTAGAAAGGAATTAAAGAACGTTGAACGTTGCTATTTTGTCACAGACCAATGATCTGATTAAGGAAAGCCATGAGAGTAGCCTTTGAAAGAATTAGTGACCTCTGAGACGTAAACGCTATTGATGTTGATGCTAATTATATCTCATGACTTACTATCGGACTAAATATATTCACTTAGTATATCTTAATAAGCCTTGCCCTTCATAACAGTCATAAATAGGATCGATTCAGGCTCCATTTAGGGAGATAGCAGCCATGATCTGTTTTTAAAATATCTGGATGAATATTCTTATTTACTAAACTAAATGTGCTTTAACTGCATTCTTATAGCATTTTAATTAAATTAAATAGAGTTGATCTGTTAATATCCTGAATCATCTATATGAAAATTCACGAATTTTGCACAATTATGCAATTTCTACGTTAACCCTGACACCAATCCCAAATCTCCGTGAAAAGTGATCATTACAACCCACTCTCAGGATTGATTATTTCGGGAAATAGGATCAAATAATTGGTCAAAGTAGTGTTAATGAAAACGTAAAAGCTTCATTATCTATTATTATTATCATGTATTATATATATATATATATAAATATAAATATATATATATATATGAGATGAGTATAAAAAATGTGTTAGATTTGTTAATCTCAAAAACAACCATAAATCATTTATAAAATTATAATAGTTATCACTTAAAGAATGGATTATAGAAAAATTGACTCAGTATTCGAGTTAGTAATAAAATGAATAAAAAAGCTTAGGAAGAAGCTGCAATGCTGAAGAAAACCTAGTACAAAAGTGTCATATGCGATTATTACATCGCACTATGATTAGATATAATATTACAGGGCTTCTTTAAGGAAAATTTGAGCAGAATAATCTAATTGAAAAAGAAGTGATCGGACCTAATTTTCACAACTTGGTCGTGTTGTTAGAGAGACCTAGTTTAAGACATCTTGCCTGAAGTCCTCTACTAAAGTAGTGAACAACAACGTACATGTATCTAAAAGCTTTACAAACGGCGTCTAAAGTAAAGTTTATACTGGGACTGAAACCGAATGAAATCAGTCAGCTAGAACGATAAGGAACGGATCTATGACCCCATGAGGGAAAGTTGGATAGGCCTGAGTCGGATCAGCAAATCTAGAAAGACGGTGGGAACAAAATAAACAGATGTGGTGAAACCATGATAATCTTGCCAAAGAGAGCACACCTTTAAAGGAGGCGAATATAAGCAAGTCAGAAGTTGTGATAGGGCAGGAGTGAGATAACAGGTTAAGGAGTAGGTAGATGTGATAGAACAGCTTGGCAGAAAGTTGGTCAAAGGATTGAACTCCTTTGTCTCTGACGCGTTGCGGCCTTGTGCTGCGACTGGTAAGTCTTACTAACGATGCCGGCGAAACGTCTGGGAATGTCCACGGCCAAACGCTAAAAATTATAATAATTACTGTAGAAGAATCCGGACGTGATACGCCCAACTAGATCTGTCTGACAACACGACCAAGTTGGAAAACTAATTCACATCTTGGTCTCCATATCTATGTGAAGCTGAACAAAGTTATCAAATAACAATTTTGGGAAAGAGCGAAATAGCTATAATATTTACGAATATAATTCCGTCTACTTATAAGTAATACGGCTGACCTAACATTTACAAACAAAGCACTTATTTCGAATAAGTAGAATTTCTTTATATGAGATTTCAGTTATATGAGATGTATTAACCCTATTTCGTTTAAGGTGACGAACTAGTAGAATTCTCTTACAATGATATGAATAGAGCTGGCACTTCCATTGAATTTCACAAAGCTTTGCTTTCCTAAAAGTTTTTCTCATCCAGGGTGGACCTCAGTTTTGACCTTGAATAGGTCTTATCAACACCCCTAGCGGGAGTCAAGCTGTGACATTGCAGAATGTTAGCTTGAAACTTTGACGACTCAGACACATTGCCACGAGTGCCCTTGGATCACAGGGCAATGTGCAGTTCAAAGAAGGCTAGGCCTTTTCCCATATCTTTGGTGGGATTGTCGATGAAGCAAAATATTTTTGCTATATCAATCGACTACGTTACTTATTTTCGTAGAGTTTCAAGGGTGATTACATCTAATACAACTGATTTACTGGTAGTCTTGAAACTCTAATTATATACGAAAAATAAGTAATTTAGTCGATTGTTATATCATTGACAATCCTAACAAAGAATGTATTATGGGAAAAGGCCTGGCCTTCCTTGAATTGCACTTCTTCCCTGTGACCCAAAGGACAATGTGGCCGAGTGGTTAACGTGTTAAGCTCATATGCCTCACTATCATGGTTCGATTCCCGCTGTGGGTATTTATAAGACCTATGCGAGGTCGAAATTGCAGTCTACCCTGGATGAGAACAACTTTTGGGAAAGCAAGCCTATGTGAAAATCAATGGAAACGCCAGCTCTATTCACATAATTGAGGGAGAATTCGACTACTAGTCCTTCGTTACTTTAAACGAAAAAGAGTGAATACATCTCCTACATCAATTTAATCTAATTTGCCTGGC